CCCACCCTCCGTTCACATTCCAGCTATATCAAAAACAGATTCTTCGTTGTGCTGTAAACAACAACCATTAGGCCTCTTGTAGCACTCAGTATAACAATATAACCAAACATGGATACTTGGGTACCTGGAATAATGACAACATCAACGACAACTACAACAGCAATTTGCTGTGTAGTAATATTTTTCTTACCAACCTTGTAGAATCAGCAACGTCATTTAACAGCGGCTGCAAAGACAACACTTAACAACAACAACAACAACCCTGAAAAAATCCTCAACATTTGCAACATAACAACATCGAAATTTACAACCAACAGAGACTTCGACTAGAAGTAAAGATAGTAAGAAGATAGCACCAATAACAACAATAGAAGCTGCAACAACAACAACAACAACAACAACAGTAACAACAGCAACAACAACAACAGCAATAACAGCTAATTAATAACTTCAACAAAAAACAAGACGTATAGAGGATTTGCGGGAAACCATACGTTTTGTTGAAACCACAAGGCAATGTGTAGATAGAAAGAAGAAAAAAAAAAACCAAGTGAAAGAGAAACTACAGCAGCTTCATCATCAATAACGAAGAAAAAAACAACAAAACAAAACAAACACCAAACCAACTTCAAGCAGAATATCAACACAGCACATCAATACATACTAATGCTACTATTTATTAGTAATAACAGCAACAATATAACAAAAGAAACAACACCAAGAAACAACAGCAAAAACAACAATAAAAACGACAAAAATGTCCTCATAAATAGATGTTGTTAGCTGTGTGTGTACATGTCGTGTGAGTGACATAATGACATGTAGTTTTGCGTTGTACGAGTAAAGTAATAGATCTAGACTCACTAACTCAACAAGACAGGGGAGAGCTCTCTTCTGTACACAGCTATTGATGACGTCATAAATACTAATTTTTTAATTTTAAAAGAAAATTTTTTTATTTTTTTTGGGGGGGGGGGGGCAAAAGAGAAAAGACCACTCACTTTACAAACAAAAAAAAAAAAAAAAAAGGAAAGAAACCAGAAAAAGAAAGGAAACCCATTCCTCCAGCTATAATTAGCCGTAACATACACGACTATCATAGACAACGTGACGTCAAACAGATGTCGGGAAGAGAGTGCTAATTAGGGAAACGAGACAGTCCTATGTTCTGTCTGTGAATTTATGAGAAGCAAAACGATCATTTTAAAAATCGTTATTATCATTCTTTCTTTCTAATTTCCATGTCATGTTGTGTTGTTTTGGTTTTGTTTTTGTTATTTTAGTGTTGTTGGTGGTGGTGGTGGTGATGGTGTTGTTGTTGGTTTTGTTATTGGTATGTTGTTGTTGGTGGTGGTGGTGGATTTTTTTCTGTACTATTCTTTGACCAGAAGAGAGCTTCCCAGAACACTGACACGGACAAAGGAACGCTCAGGAAAACTGAAGTGAAGTCAATCACAAAATATTGTTTGACTTCTCTTTGGTTAAAAAAATCATAACTTCCTTCCTGGTATTTTTGTCTTTTTAAGTAGCAATAATAGGTTGTTATT